GTGTTAACTGCAGATGTGAGTGAACTGTGATTCTGCACCTGAGAGACTGCTGCATGTTGGCGTGGCTGTAGATGTAACCAGGACCTGGACCCTGACATGCGTTAAAGTCATCTGGAATACAGACAAAGCCACAGTGGAACACAGTAGAGTCACACAAATTCAGATGTGTAAAATCCGACCCAGCCCAATAAAGTGAAGAATGACAAACGTGAAAACAACAGAACAATCAGATAACTGTGGTTATGTGTGCAAAGATGTTACAGTAAATTGAAAAGAACAGAATTTAGTGACTAACTTGTTAAGGGAAAGTGGATTAAGGATCCCGTCATCACATGTTTGTTGTTGTTCTTCTTCTTCTTGGCCTCTTTGGATGCTTTCCAGTTAATAAGGAACTGTCTGGTTAAATCATGAATTTCCCTGCCGTCCAGAACCTCTATACAAATAAATAAATAGATTAAACAAACAAACATTTCATTTGAAATTGAAAAGTGAAAGGTGTATATTTTTACTTTGATCATTAAGTGGCCCTTTTAATTATTAGCCTGGGCAAGTCAAAGAAATAAAGTGCAGTTTCATATTAGGATGCCATTGAGAAAGAAAAATGAATAACAACTCACCCAGGCTATGGACCACGGTTATTAGGCGGTCTCTGTATTTTGCTTTTTTACACACCGGATTTCCACCCAAATCCATTTGAAGCAGCTGAGGCCAATGGCTGAACACATCCTCTAACTCCTGAAAGCACACAAGAAGAGGAACTTCCCCCATAACATGTTGTGTTTTCATTTGGACAACTAATAAGTTCAAATGGCAACAGTGTGTCTGTGCAGCTGCAACTTCTTTCTTTTTGAAGCAAATATGATGCATATTTATAATCACTAATCTGAGACAAACATCGGGGGGAAACTTTGAAAGACTTGGTGAATGTTAATGTGAAGTACAAGGGCCAATGGAAAGTGCATAAACAACACATCCGTCTATTTTAATAAACAGTGTCGCCGGTGTCATGTAACTACAAGTTTTCTCCTGGGGCGGTGTGAGGCTGGCTCCTCCAGCGAGTTGCCTGCAGTTGTATGTTTATCTAAAGGCACATTAATCCAAGCCTGGAAATATGAATACTCTCTGGACACGCTCTGATTGTTCATTGCCTTCCTGTCTTGGCCAAAGCGCTTCCACTTTTCCAACCTCTTGCTGCAATCAGTTCAGAGGGGACCCCTGAGCACCGCGCGCTCCCAGGCTTTGATAAATGATCGTGTCAGGGCCGTCACTCAGAAGGCCCTCACTGAAGAGCGGCCCAGTGCCAAATTGCCCCTCACGCGGGGGCGTGGAGCACAGCAGAGGCTGGAGACTCGCTGTTGCTCGGCCGGCTCTCTTGCCTGGACTAATGATGGGCCCAGTTATGAACCTGCATTTGACCAGGGCTTTCGATTCCCCACGTCCTCTCTGCCCTGCACACTGCTCACGGTCTCTGAAGATGCTCCCCATTTGTCACCCTAGCTTGACTGCCTGTCATAATCTATTTTAAAAATCCATAATGTTTCCTCTGGATTGCGAGCGAATGGCGCAGAAGAAGGGATTGATCCTTCGGAGGGCTGTCTTTGCAGGATCAATAGTGGCAGATGGGTTGTATAAATTATAGGAGATATGACACGTGTACAGCAATTGTACCTGCATTAACGTTGTCAAAGGAAAATCATTTGTGTTAAAAGAAAGTAGCCTCAGCAATGTAGTCAATTCTAAAGCACTTTCAATGTGTCATCCTAGTGTTAAATGAACCTTTTCAGTTAAAGCAGGTTATACTTAAAGGACGTCAGTGAGGCTAAATCCTATCTCTGCCTCAGATGAATCTCCCATAAAGTCAAGAACTGGTGCTTTAAGGTATGAAATAGAGGATTCTGAGGCAGAGAGGAAAAATCAGCCTCCCAAGGAAAGAGAGAAACTCGTGCTTGTTTAAAGCTGTCAGCGAGAAACCTCTCAGGGGAATGGCTCGCTGATTTGTTGAATAATTCTGACCCTGAACGAGTCATGGACACTGGGAACCCTATGGCGGGATTTGCAGGATTTGGTTCCTTAGAACCCTGTTCTCCATATCATTTCACACATCAGTGCAGAAAAGCTACGGAACAATGTTAATGTTGACCCGATTGACTAATAGCCGGTATATGTTGACTTTAATACACCATATCATGCACAGTTGCTGTGCTGTGGTACTGTTTGCTTTGACTTTATAGTGCACTGCACGCAGTCAGTTTCTACTTCACATGGAGAAAAAGGTCTTGAATTAGTTTCACAGACATTTTTAGTTAAGTTTGGGGGGAAAAAAAACTATATTTACCTCCATATTGTACAATCTATTGTCAGCCGCAGAAAAATGCTGGAGTTCCTTCAGCACTGTCAGTTCCCTGATTTCATCAATGTTGTTGTTATTGATATTCAGGACACAGAGAGATTCCTGTGCAACAAATTCAGGTTCATGAAGAGAGAAGAGTTAATTTTACAGTTAATACAATGACAGAATCTTACAAATAAATATTACACAATGAGCCCTAAAGCCTCAGACAAATGCTAAACCAAAAAGTAACTCAGTAAAAGTATAAGTTTTGTACACTTTACAGTATTTTCTTTGCCCGTGATCCATTTGAATGAATGATTTAAATGTGTTCTCTTCATATGCCTGAACTATCAGCATCATCAGATAATCAGATAATCAGACTCTAGATAGTGCTGTTGTTAAATATTCATCTGGGTTTGAAGTTCTGTAACGACACATTTATAAAAAGCTGGAACTCTTTAAATTTGCACAGCAATTTCTTTAATTATCCAAACAAACAAGAAGCTGAGGCTTTTGGTGTGTTTATCCATGGCCTGGGCAGTAAACAAAGTAAACACACCTAACTGATTTGTCAGACCAGAGAGAGCAACAGAGGTCTCTTTGACATCATCAAACCCAGCACATTACTGCTTTTACATGGATTACTGGCCTCTGAGGAATCTGAGATCTTTTCAACTCGATGTGATAACCGACCAGGTTGATAAACCACGCATGAAAAGAGAAAAATAGGCTTTCCTCTGACCTTTTGATTACTTAAAATATATCATTTTAACTAAAGACAGTGTGGATCTTCCTTTTCCCCCGCATACTATCTCTGTACTGCAGAGTGTAAATAGGTCATACCGCCAGTGAGAGGAGAGACATTGGGGCAAGGAGCAACTTTTCCCCCGGTGCCAGCCTCTGATTCTCCAGATGAAGCTCCTTGAGCTCACAGAGTGTCTCTAAGCCCTCCACCACAGCGATCCTGTTTCCACCCAGATACCTACCGAGCAGGAAAACCCACACACATGTTCAGACACACCGTAGACCTTCACCACAGCGCAGGACGACAATCGGTTAAAAGTTTGTCTACTCACAGTTTGGAGAGCTTCTGCAGATTGGAGAGATTATCTATTTGAGTGATGTTATTGTTCTGCATATAAAGATGGGTGAGGTTGGAGGCGAAGCCGAGGTTGCAAATGTGTGTGATCTGATTATCGTACAGGTAAAGAAAGGTGAGGTTTCTACACATGGAGAGATCCCCCTGAAAGTAGAATATAAAAGTATAAGTGAGGCATATAAGAAGAAAAGCACATGATTAAATCGTCAGCGTTGATACTCACAATGTCGTCAATGCTCTTGCTGAAAAAGTGGAGGTGGGTGAGTGTCTTGAGGTACTGTGGGAGGGAGAGGCCCCTTTTCTTTTTGAAGTGGTTTCTAGATTTAGCAATCAGATCTATGGTCAGGCGCACCATGGTGGCTCGCCACAGACGCCGCTTTAGAGAGGATCCTTTTCAGCCGAGCGTTCAGCCCCACAGCAGTGGCTAGAAGTGTCAGAAAAATTTCAGAAAAAAGACCTTAGCGGGCAAAGAAATGTCCCTCAGAATAACCATGTAATAATGGCACATTACTTTAGCATTTGTAATCCCAAATGACGAATTAACCCCGTACAGAACTTTAAATGGCCTAAAACCTGATTGTCAATTTGCAGTTAGGGATAATTGATGTGAAAAAAAACACATCACTATTCTCCAGGACACTTGCTAAGAGGCCAAAGGTTGGGTGACCACTCAATTCATACTGATATTAGAATTCCCCTGGCAGACGAAGCAGAGCTTCTAGGAGCCCACTTCCTTTCATTCAGTACTCAAGGGGCTTGTTTATCAGCTTGACCTGACATTGAGATATGACAATTTGCACTTTGATTTTTCTTTGCAAATAGGCTTCCTTATACGTTGCCTCTCCTCACCTGCTAACTATACGACATTCAGTGTGTGTAGGTAAAACAGTGGAAGTGGAAGGCAGAGATGTGACGGCAGGTATTTTCCACACTTTGATCTCAAGGCCATAAGGCCGAGGTTATAGGAGACAAGAGACACTGATCGATCGACCAGAGCTGAATAGAAGCTAAAGGCTAACTGGACTTATACAATCCTGGGCCTCTCCTCTCCAGGGCCTCGGGGACAGCAGTTTACCATTGTCAAAAAAAGAAAGAAAGAAAGTGTGACACTCATAACAGCTGTCCGGGTGGAGCACGTGGAGCAGTAGGCCTAACGTAGGGAATATCATTTCATATGCAAATAGCCGGTGAACGGTGGTGAAGGGGTTAATAACACAGCTGTGAAGGACCCGGATGTTGTAGCTAGGTTAGTTAGCTAGATAGCGATGGCTAACTCACAGCTAGCTTAGGAGCCACCATAAACCATAGCATATTCTCTTACCAAGTTTAGCACAACACTCCCACTTAATATGGCGAACTTGGAAATATGTCAATTATTAACTAAACGTTCCTACCTCTTTGACGTCTTCAGGGAGTTTAGCTTGTACCGTTAAATGAACCGGGAGGCCGTTTTGTTTGTGACTATGTTGCTATGGAAACCACAGAAGCAACGCATTAGTCACGGAATTTGTCAGCAATGAAATCATTTTCTGTGACTTGATGATTAATATTTTTGTTACGCCCAAACATCCATAACTGTTTTATCGCAGTTTTAGGGAAACACTAGTCGTTTCTAAACAGTACATTGTTTTAATTGCTATTTTTATTTTAATTGTAGCCAATAATTGCAAATACAATGCAGAGGATGGCCATAGATAAATTATCGTTTTGACAAAAGGGAGTGCCAAACTAAATCCTGCTTTATTATTCTGAAATCCAGTGATGGTTTTGAAAAAATAAAATGAATGTCAGAAAGTGGAATGTTAAAAATGATTTTACAGTGTGAGTAAGTAGTGACTTTTGGCCTTATCAGACACTAATAACACAACTCCCATCCACTGAAATGTTTACTTAAATGTGTGCTGTTTATGTTTTCTGCTAAGATGACATGTATCCAAGCTATCTTTCAAGACCACATACCAAATCAGGACCACAGCCCACTTCTCTCAGTGACCCCTGCAGTGTTAATCTATATCATGTCAAGACCTGGGTTTCCTGTAAGGGAGTGACTTGCCTCCACTTATGCAGGAGCACATGGTGGAGAGGAAGTGTAGCACCTCCAGCTTTCTGAGCGTGGATCAGCTTCTACACACACACACACACACACACACACACACACACACAAACACACACGATGGGGCCATGGTTGTGGGGTTAATTCCTCTGAGAGCCAAACTAAACACAACATCTCCAGATCTTAGTGGGGTCATTATATCTATAGGGCCTCAGTACTGTAGCTACCTCTAGCTATTAATCATGAGCCTTGTCAATCTGCTGCTCTCATATCAGTCATTGCCGGTTGTTGTTCACTCCTTTATTTTTGTGTGGACAGCCAAGGAGAAGGCATTCCTGCAATCTGGGAAATCTTTTTTTTATGTTAACGAGGACCATACTTTGGAAGTAGAAAACTGCTAAATGTTAAAAGAGTAAGGTGAAATACACGAGTAATGGATTTTTGGCTGCCCACAATTTGACTTGGTTAGAATTTACATACATTTTCCTATTCCACTTTAAGTCATGCATATAAATGTCCATCTGGTCATAATCATAATATTCACATGTCTAACGAGTTCAATATGTTTCACTGATACTTACATCGCCATGGAAGACGAAACATTAGGTGAAACTATTTTAGAAGTGCATACTCTCAATACTTTCTCAGCACTGTGACAGTCATCCATGTAATACATTTAAATATCTGGCAAAAACACAAGCTATTCAGTGGAACGTGTGCAAAGAACCTTTTCACATTTTTAAATTACATTAAATATAATCTAATAAATTTCCTTTTCTAAATCTCTATACTGAACACCCTCCAATTTAGGACCTGGCCTAAATAACGGTAAAATAAAATCATTATAAAAAGTGGTGCCAAAGCTCATGTGCATGAGAAAAAACAGACACCTCCACTGCCTCACTGGGATGGTCTCCTCTGCGATACATGACATCAAAAATATACATCTAGCCATTACAATAACGTGAAAAAAAGACATGACACAAACCCAGGCCAAAGCGGCTGCCCTTTAAAAAAAGGCAGACTTGGCGAGTGTCTGCTTCGACGGAGAGCAGACACGTTGGGTGAATAGACTCCAGTGTGTGCGGCTTCTGTTTCTGCGCTGCATCACTGCCACACCACGACCTGACGAGCTTGGCCACTACGCCGGAGTGTGTACCACCGAGAGCCAAACCGGGCTTCTGGGAGTGACTCCGCAGAGACGTCCCACACATTGCAGCCGATTCCCTTTGAGCCTATGCAGAAGCTCGAGCTTGTTGTTCCATTATGTAATGCTGTGACAGGCTACACTTGACTGACTGACTGGTGCTAGGTTAGGCTGTGCGTTAAATGCAACCACGGTGTGTGTGTTGAAATGTTGGGCTGCAGAAGAATACAGGGCCCCATGCACATGCAAAAGGATTTTCTAGTAACGGCCAAAGCATGAAGGGAAACAATGCGGCAGTCAGAGCCCCACGTCTAAAGAATAGTGTACTATATTTACAAAGGACTGAATATGTGACGACCACCTTATACACCAGTGCAAGTGTTTATGTTGCATAACATAGAGTAAAATATAATCATATAATTGTTTTTGTAGAAAATAACCACAGACAGCAGTTGTAATTTTTATTTTTTATTTTTAACTACTTCTAGGACACAATAAACAAATTGAAAAAAAACAACCCAAAACCCCCGAACCCTTAGAAGTTAAACATAAACCAATAAGTGCGAGACATGCACAAGAAAACACTTCCAGGTAAAATCCAAATCAGCTCGTAGTTCAGGTTTTAATTGCCGGATGTGTTGATTTGATTGAAGAGTTTGTCCTTGATGACTTGGGACATCAGGCCATGAATTGCCTCTATGGTCGTCTTGCAGCTAAAACAAACCATAATGAAAAATGACGATTAGTTGTCTCTATTTGTGTATCAGATATTACAGTAACTACTGTTAATAAACAGATTAGCAGGTTATATTTTAATGCTCTTTTGGTTGGTTTGAATTATAAACATATTTAATTAATCCATTATTATAAAATAATGGAAAAAACTGTAATAGTGCTGCAGGTTTATATTTTTCTAGCTCTGTTTTGAATCACACTACTTGTAAAAAAAAATTCAAAATAAACTACAGATCAAGAAATGAATTATATGTTAATTAATTATTGACTGCCAGAAAATGAATTGTTTGAATCATTCTTTGTTTATTATCATTGTCGACTGAATCTCTTCGGGTTTCGGAGAGTAGTAATAAGATAAGATAATTGTCTCTTTGGAAAACTTTTAATCAATTAATTGAGAAAATAATCTGCAGCTCAAAATCAGTGCTAAAAATTATGTTGGTTGCAACCCTAAATCCTAAAATTTGACAAAATTGAAATTGGCACAAATAAGTATATTACCAACGGCCCTCATCAGTGCCCAATTGAAACAAAACATTTGTGGAAATCGGGTAAAAAAACAAAACATCTTCTACAAGATTAAAGTTATTGTTAACATAATATGAGGACAATGAAGTATCATCAACAAACCAATTGAGTTGGCAAATACTAAATATCACACAGTAATTAAATGAGTTAATAGTAATACTCTCAATCACTTTCTTTTTAGGATCTATAATATATATTTAGCAAATGGGAAACACAAATTATAATTAAGGAAGTTCACATTTCAGTCTGCAGCCTTTTATTCCTGAGAAAACGATTTACCTATCTCGCGTTGCTTTGGCCAGTTTGTCCTCAGACTTCCTGTCATGTGTGTCCAACCCGAGCATGAAGCTGCCTCGTCCCAGCTGGGCCTCCGACTGCTCCAGCTTCTCCGACAAGTCGAACACCTGGCCTGTGGTGTAGTCCGAGTTCTGACGGTCCCAACAAACACACACACACACACACACACACACACACAAACCAATTCATGCACAATTTGCCGACAAAAGGCGGATAACAGACTTTACACAAAGAAAGAGAATTTCGCAGAATGGCAACAAATCTGTGTAACAAGCTGGAGGAACACTTTGCGCGTTGTGCTGAATGAAGAGAAGCCGGGGAAAAGTTTGCTTAAGGTGAGGCCGTGTTTTGAGTGGAAAAGGTAATTAAAACACAATGACACAGGGGCCCCTGACTAGGGCGACAGTGTAGCAACTGACAAAGCCCGTCACCCAAGGAGCAGCTCGTCCTTGACATCTAGTCAATTGATCTCCATCCAGAATGCCAAAGAGCTCACTGTTTGGATAAGCCAGATGCCTATTTAGACTGTTTAGTCAAGCTCGGGACAAAGTGACTGCATCCACAATGGGAATTCACATTGAGGGGATTTCAATCTTTAGAATGAACTTGGGGGG